CCCAAAAATCCGGGAATTCACCCCAAAAATCCGGGAATTCTCACCCCGGGGGGCAGATCCTGATCAAGAACCTGAAGAACGAGATCACCAAGAAGGTTCCGGTTCCCAACTGCGACGAGATTTTCTACGCGGGCACCGGGAACCTGCTCCTGCGGGACTCCGACTCCATCACGCTCTTCGACGTCCAGCAGAAAAGGTGGGAATTTTTTGGGGATTTTTTGGGAATTTTTTGGGAATTTTCCGGGAATTTTCCAGGAATTTTTTGGGAATTTTCTGGGAATTTTTTGGGAATTTTTTGGGAATTTTTTGGGAATTTTCTTGGAATTTTCTGGGAATTTTTTTGGAATTTTTTGGAATTTTTTGGGAATTTTGTGGGAATTTTTTTGGAATTTTCCAGGAATTTTCTGGGAATTTTTTGGGAATTTTCCAGGAATTTTCCAGGAATTTTCTGGGCATTCCGCACCTAAAATCTGCTTTTAGTGCACCAAACCCTGTTTTTTTTATCTGAAATATTTAGGTTTTTTCACCTTAAGTCCTGGTTTTTTTACCCCTAAATCCCTATTTTTTCCATCCTAAATCCATTTTATTTTTTTCCCCTAAATCCCTTTTATTTTTTCCATCCTAAAACCCTTTTATGTTTTCACCCTAAATCCTATTTTTTTCCACCCCACACCTTTTTTTTTCCACCCTAAATCCCATTTTTTTTCCACCCTAAATCCCATTTTTTTCCACCCTAAATCCTGGTTTTTTCTCCTGTAAATCGCATTTTTTTCCCCCCATAAATCTCTTTTCTTTCTCCGTAAATCTCTTTTTTTTCTGCTTAATTCCCATTTTTTCCTCCTAAACCCCATTTTTCCCCTCTAAATCCCATTTTTTCTTCACCCCAAATCCTGTTTTTTTTCTTCCCCAAATCCAATCTTTTTTTTTTTTACCCAAGTCCCCTTTTTCCCCCTAAATCCCTTCTTTATTCCCCCTAAATCCCATTTTTTCCCCCCAAAATCCCCTTTTTTCCCCCTAAATCCCTTTTATTTTTTCCTCTAAATCCTGGTTTTTTTCTCCTCTAAATCCCTTTTTTTTACCCTAAATCCCTTTTTTTTGGGCCTAAATCCTTTTCTTCCCTAAATCCCATTTTTTTCCCCTAAATCCCTTTTTTTTCACCCTAAATTTCTTGTTTCCACCCTAAATTCTCTTTTTTCCACCCTAAATCCCATTTTTTTCCATCCTAAATCCCTTTTATTTTTTTCCC